CTTTCTTTCTTTCTTTCTTTCTTTCTTTCTTTTTCTTTTTTTGTTTTTTTAAGACAGGGTTTCTCCATGAAGTTTTGGTGCCTGTCCTGGATCTCGCTCTGTAGACCAGGCTGGCCTCGAACTCACAGAGATCTACCTGGCTCTGCCTCCCGAATGCTGGGATTAAAGACGTGTGCCACTGCCGCCCTGCTGCAGATTTTCATCTCATTCTTTCCACTATTGTTGAACCTTACTTCAGCCCATAAGAACCCATTGAAAACCTGCATTTTCAGGCCTCCACACCCAGAGGACACAGAAAAATGATCCATCGAGAGTGACCAATCCTCCCTCCCAAATAACGCCTGTGAAAACTGAGTAGATAAATACAGTCTACAAGTTAGGCCGCCACCTGGATCTCAGCTGCAGGAGATGCCTGCCCAGCACTACTCAACAGCAATATAAGAGGTTCACAAACTCAAGCCATGTGATTCAAACTTCCTAGTAGCTACACTTTCAAAGCTAGAACACATGAATGCAATAAATGTCAATAGCATGTTTTTTTTTTCTGATGCAAAATAGCCAAAAGATTGCTACTTCAATAATAATCAACAAAAATTAATGAGACAGTTCACATTGTTCCAAGCTAAGTGTTCCAAAATCAATGCCTATGTCACCATGATAGCATATCTCAACTCAGAATAGCCGCGTCCAGTTGCTTATTGGTCATGTGTGGTTACTGTAGCTACCAGCACAGCTCTGGCCAGATATAAAAGGTAGGTAGGGCTCTGCCATGTCAGTAGCTAGGAAAAGCCCCTGCTGGATGGGCAGCTTCTACTGGGCTGGAGGGCATATGCCTTTCACAGAGACAATGAACCAAATAATTATTTAAACTGCAATACTTTTTTAACTATTCTTAAAAAAAATACGTTATTTTAATTTTTTGTCTCTGTGTGTGTATGTGTGTGTCTGTCTGTCTGTGTAAATCTATCTTGTGTGTGTTCCAGTGCCGGAACCGGCACGGTGGCCGGAAGAGGGTATCAGATCCCCCAGGAACTGGAGTTGCAGGAGGTTTTTAGCCTCCAGGAAGGGATGCTGATGAGCAGTGTGTGCTCTGGACCACTGAGTGTCTCCCCATCGCCTTTTATTGCTCTTTAACACAAAGGAGGTGAACAAGTCATCACACCCTTCAATACGGACATTAGGATTTCAAATAACGAGAACTAAAGTTTCCTGGACAGTCTTAAAGATTTAATAATTTGCCAATAATAATTTCTAAGATTAGAGAATGGCTTGCCATCTCCTTGTCACTTTTGTGACCCACAAGGATGCTACACATCGTGCCTTAGGTGCTCAAGCTTCCTCCAGAGACCCTTCAGGGAAATGCTAATGACCACTATGTTTTACTCACTAATGAATGCGGGTGATTCTTTACTCAAACACAGATATACACACATACACATATGCACACACACACACACACACACACACACACACACACACACACACACGGAGAGACAGAGACAGAGACAGAGACAGAGAGAATAGCAGGTATGGGTTTATAGCAGTAGTAGGTGTGTGTATGTGTGTGTGTGTGTGTGTGTGTGTGTGTGTGTGTGTGTGTGTGTGTTAAGAGTCTCAGTCTATATCCCCAACTGGTCTAGAACTCATGGCAATGCTTATCTCTCTGACTGCTAGAAATAAAGGCATGAGCCATCACGCAGGCGTGTATAGAAAGCCTGTCTATCCATAGCTGGCAATCGTGTATCAGATGCGGCCCTTGGGCTTTTCTTCACTGGGGTTGGAGAAAACAATGGACTTCCAGTTATATCAGATCAACCACTGAAGCCACGTACTGGGATGCTATTGGCTCCGTTACCCCTAAACCGACGTCCAAGCCTGTGACATCTCTTACTGTTTATATCTATGTCTGGCTTTTCCATAGCGCAGAGAAATTTGATGATGAAATAAGATGGTACTGTGGGGGTCCAGCTCCTATCTTTCCCACCCTTTCTAGGGTCCTTATGAGGGGGAGAGGGTGCTAAGAAAGTATTAGATAGAGAGACCTAGTTGACGAGAAGGAAGACAGAAACACAGGATAGCTTCAGGAGGGCCTGGATCACTACCCAACGGCCTTTCCCATTCATTCAAAAGGGCTTTTTATAACAATGCCAAGGGGCAGGGCAAAAGACCTCCTCCTTGCTAGATCAAAACACACCGCAAGTGTAGACCTTTCTAAATACCTGGCAACCATACCCGTGGTCAAATCATCCCCTTATGCAGGCCTGCTGGGTAAAGCAAGCTCAGATTCTCTGACCCCGAGAAAGTTCTCACTAGATAGCCTCTGTGGGCTCCCACATGGTACTTCTGAGGTCTAATAAGAGGGTGTTTACTTTACAGACGCCACATTTTTATGGGTAGTGGGATTCATTTTCCAGGACTATTGGGGCCAGTGATGCATCCTCCATCTCCTTGTAGGTTCCTCCTTTCCCTTCTTCTAGTCTTCATCCTTAACTCAGAGATTCACCAAGGATCTGAATAAACTTTGATGTCCTAGAGGATGCTTAATTTTATTTTAAAACACTGACCAGTCTTTAGCCTAGAAGAACTGAACCTCTGTGATGGATCTCATGCAAGCAATTCCCTGCCTGGGCTCAAATTCTACTCCTGGCAATTCTGATGCTTGGACTAGGAAGTTAGTCTTTCTATATTATATTACCATCTCCCCCAAAAGGAGCAAGGGCAAGATGTGTTGTTGTTTTTCAGACACATAAACATCGAATTTCAAGCGTGTTTTCCTTTATCTCAGTCATTCCTCTTGTGAATGATTCTTTGGGGGAAGGAAAAGATGAAGCCTGGCATGGCTGTTGTTGGAATTTGTCTTTCAAGGTCGGCTCATTCCCACAGTTAATTGAAAGTTAAACGCATATAAAAAAATAAAATAAAATTAGAAGTTGGCAAGGATTGACTCTGGTCCCTCTCCAGAGACTTCCAAGTTCTTCTTTCACGAGCACCCTGAGCTCTTCCCCTCACGGGATCTAGATTCTGTTCTCAGTGTGTCCAACCGGATGATGTAACATCTGGGCCGCCTCTGGCGAACGTGAGAAATGAAGCGCTTTTCATCTTCCCTCTCTCTGAGCTCTGGGAACTCCGATGAAAATGACTCTTCCTCTTGTGTTTGTTCTTTGCCTGCTTTAGCGTCGAACTCCGTGGAAGTGCCCTATGGAGGTCTCCCCCCTGTGGAAGAGGGTGACAGAAAGATTAGCCTCATTATGGAGCTATCCACCCAGCTTTCCCTACAAACTGAGAAGATCACTCAGCTCGAAGAAGTTTTAGCAGAAAAGGAACGGAAGATTGAGGAGCTGGTAGCCTCGCGCAGTAGCCAACTGTTCCAAGCGGAAGCAAACCTTAGAGAAGATTTACAAGAAGTCCCCACTGTATGTGACGATAGGTGTGTTCCAGTGGCCTCGAAGGAGGAGTTGTAGATTTCCTATATGAAAATAATTAAAGTTTAGTGTCACCAAGATGGAGTCCAAAATCTAAACAGCCCGTCAAATTCGAGTTTACAAGTTTGGGTGTCACCTACAGTGTTCGTGCCGGGAGAGATCCGTAGAAAGGGGGGCATTCAGAAGCAGACCCTGAAAGTGTCTACCACTCAGCAGTGGCCACCGAGCCACACAGCAGTAGGAGGCTGTGTCTTTAGACACTCCTGTGGGTGAGGGAAGAACACAAAACCAGGCAGCTTGCTACCGTCCTCTCAGGAGAAGTTTGCCACACTTGGAAGGAAGGATGCTAGGTGTCTGTCCCTTGGTGCAGCGCTGTTGGGCAGCGGAAGCTGGGTTGGAGGGCCTGCTTCGCGTTGGGGAAGGTTCGAGCCCCGAAGAGCGAAATCATTGCCAAACGAGTCAATAGCCACGAGGTCTGTCCTTTCATGTCCTCTCAAGTTTATTTCTTTATGGCATGAATTTTACGAACATTAGCAAGGGTAGAAACAAAATAATGCTGAAGCAATTTTCAAAAATGAATCAGAGCTGTGGTCCTTTGGGAAAAGGTTCTGGACAGTATCTCCCTGGGAAAAGACACAACACTGATTTTTTTTTTACCCCCCACCCCTTCCTTAGGAGAAAAGAAAAATACACACTTCTATTAGGATGATCACATTGCTGTGAGCACTGTAAAATAATGGCAGAGAAAACAGCAGCATTGGCACAGGGGGCACCCTGTAATTAATGGACTGCAAGGAGTCCTGTTATGTCCCCTTCCCACTCAAACGATCCATGTCCTCCCCAAAGGGCACTAATGAGGAGATTTCAGAACTTAACTCTTCTAGTGAGCCTCCTGAGAAGCAGTATTGGCAGACTTCTGAGTGTGGCTGTATTGCTACAAGTCAATCCAATTCATCCAGTTTAACAACTAGGCATCGGAATCCTGTCCTCTGAGCACAGCAGCAGATGTCAGAAACAGAGCAAACCTAAGAATCAGCTTAGATAAGCAGGGTTCTCATAGACACAGAAGGGTCTCCTTAACTGTGGTGATTTTATAGATGGAGGGGCAGAGAGAACATGAGGGAGTCCGGGGACAGAGGGCTGCCTGCTTGCCGTGAAAGAGGACCTCACATTTGATGAGTGGTTGGCATGACTGCATAGGCCTGGCCTCTGGAGTTGGACCTGATAGGCACATTTTAATAAGTCATAGATTTCCTGGTGAGTATAGTCCAAGCAGACAACATTAGGCAGGCTTCAAACTCCGATTTTATACTTTCACTCCCTGATTCATGGACAAACACTCCTTGCAAGCTGGGATGGGACCAGTACTATTAAAAGAGAGCATGATCTGATTGTATGTCCCGACCACCTACAAGACAATTTCTAAACCATAGTGCCTGCCCTGCCTTTCCCTTTTTCTTTTCCTTACCCCTTTCCTCTCCTCTTTCCCTTCCTTTCTCTTTCTCTTTATCTTTGAAGGAGCTCATGGAGCTTTGTATAGGCATATGACGGCTTTGAGATTCTAGATATTCATCAAAAGAGAAATACGAAATAACTTTTTAAAGAACTGTCCCACCAGTAATTTAGGTTTTCATGCTGAGCTATAATCCTCCTGTATTTGAACATAACCTCAGCTTCATATATAATGGCTGTGTGTGTGTGTGTGTGTGTGTGTGTTTGTGTGTTTGTGTGTGTGTATCTGTATGTATGTTTGTGTCTGTGTGTGTTTATGTCTGTGTATGTGTGTTTGCGTCTGTATCTATATGTCAGTGTGTGTGTGTGTGTGTGTGTGTGTGTGTGTATCTCTATGTCTGCACCTGTGTTTAATGTCAGAGATGAGACCAACTCAATACTTACTGGTCATGAGTACAGATCCCAAAAAGCATCTCAAAGCTGTTGTTAGAGTCTTAGATGGTCTTTTAATAAAAAAAAAATCCAAAGCCGGATATCAGGGTGAAAGCTGAAAGATCAGAGAAGCAGAACAGCCAGCCACTAGTTCTTACCTCTACAAAATCCTCAGCCTAAAGAGAGAGTTCCTGTTTCCTCACGCCTTATATATCTTTCTCTGCCCTACCATATTACTTCCTGAGATTAAAGGCATATGCACTTCCCAAACAAAGGCATGAGATCTCAAGGGCTGGGATGAAAGGTGTGTGCCACCACTGCCTGACCTCTATGTCTAATCTAGTGGCTGGCTCTGATCCTCAGGCAAGATTTTTAGGGTACACAATATATCACCACACAAAGCACTTCTCTGCCTTTTCTGAGGTGCCTACATCAGCCCTACAGAATCGGCTTCAGGCATCCCTTCTCTCTGGTACCTTCCCATCACCATATGCAGCACGGTCGCCTTGGTTTGGCTGCATGATCTTTAACACCAGCTAAATATGCCAGCTGTGGCCATAAGGTTGTGCCCATTGGCCCTGACACAACAGTGGTGCTGAGGGTTGGCATCTCCTCACTGTGTGTTTGTGAGAGAAAGCTTCAGATCTTTACCTTCTGAAAAGAGTGGAGTATTCCTCAAGCCATCGTCTTCTCATTTTGATATACTAACGTGATAACCAAGGTTCTCTCCTCTCTAGTTTAAGAAAGATTTGCCTTGAGCCCCTGGGATACTGAGGGGGATAAGGAAAGAAGAGAGAACAAGACAGGAAGAAAATCCCACCGCATCCCACATGGGCCCGTGTTAACTTCTACATCAACTTCCTGGTTAGTGGTCAGACAAGCCCCCACATGAAAGCAGCCGCACCATGGAGATAAGTAACAGGAACTGCAGACCTGCAATTAATGATTAATTGAGCCCGTCACCTCTACAGATCCACACACACCAACCCTTCGAGTTTAGCATCAAGGGTCACGTTAGTCTGAAAAGCCATCTTTATAAGAAGTTGATTTTGATTCAGGTCTGGGTCACCTTCAAATCTGAAGGTGGGAGGGCATTTGGTCTAAACATAAATAGGTTAATCTGTACTGATGTGACATTTTGGTAACAAGAATTCTTTCAATACCTGGGACGTATGGAGCAGGGGAGACACTGGCCTCTGAGCAGTTTCTAAGAGAAAAATGCACATTCCCAGCTGAATCTCTGGAAGCTTGGGGGGCTAGCTATCCTGGTTTTGAAAGCAGTAGGAAAAATAAGCAACAACAACAAACAAACAAACAAAGACATGTTGCCACAAAAAGGTAGAAAGCTAAGACCAGTGGCCAACGGTATCCTGTGACCTCTACAGGCATGTTATGGCACACCCCTGCCCACACTCACACAGAGGATTACAAACACATCATACACACTTTATATATACACACATATAAAAAGTAACCATCAACATAACAAAATTCAGAGAATAAAATATTTCATGAATAATTAAAGCCATTTTCTAATACTCTAAAAACATTTCTAGAAATATACGGTATTAATTAATCTTTTCACTAATCAGGAGCTTCCCCCCCCACACACCAGAAAGTTAAATTAAATAAGGAGATATACAGTTAATTTAAATAAATGTTGGAATTAACAATTATTTCATTATTGTAGTCAAATGTTCCCAAACATGATCATTGCAAGATGAAATTGCTTTAAAGTACTAGACTTAAATGAGCAGAATTCAAGTCATTGGCCCAAAAATACAAATGAGGATTCATTTTGATAACTGCAAAGAAGTCACAATTTTTAAAAGTCTGTCTAAATGCATTTCTGGGAAAGAATAAATTCAACCAAATTATAATTATCTGCTACACTGTGCTTTTTTTCCCCAATCCATTTTCTTCTACATTATGATAATATAAAGAATTCTTCCTTTAGCAAAATGAATAGAGAAATATCAGCAAATTCTGTGAGCCTAAGTCAAAATACTATTTACTTGGCAATTAACAAGTGTAAGGACAGTTGGGCAGTGGGTGGCACAAGCCTTTAATCCCAGCACTTGGGAGGCAGAGGCAGGCGGATCTCTGTGAGTTCAAGACCAGCCTGGTCTAGAAAGAGAGTTACAGCACAGCCAGAGCTATTACACAGAGAAACAACCAAAAAACAAACAAACAAACAAACAACAACAACAGTAGCAAAATACAATCAAGTGTAAGGATTGCAAGGATGAAACCATCCCCCAAATATTTTCTTTTATTTATGTGGGGAGCAGATGAAGTGCTGAGTGAATGGATATTGTTGACATAAGCACAGCCATGTCGAGGACCCCAGTGCCTCGGATCCATAGGAACAGCAAGGCCTTCCCCAGGACAGGCTCAGAAGAGAGCAAAGCCTTACCCTGGTCCCTGGTCCAAGCACTGCATGGGAAGTATCCACAAAAGCTTCTTCCTCCAGGTTTACTGCAGCCTGAGACTGCTCCCCTACAGAGACCCCCTACTGAGATGAGCTCACCTGCCTCCTACCTCAGCTGTGAATAGTGCACTAAGAGATTTGATTCTGGCAGCTGCTGCACAGCCATCAGAGAACACGGCCCACCCCACCCCACATCTGTCATTTTCTTCTTCATTCCCTGTCATCTCAGAAAAAGGTCAATCTCAAAGCCATGCAGGTCCTAGCAATTTTTATTGTTTTGTTTTTATTCCATGAATATGGGTATTTTGTCTGCGTGTGTGGCTGTGTACCATGTGTGCCCACTGTCCGCAGAAGACGGAAGAGGGCATCAGATCCCCTGGAACTGGAGTTACCAACAGATGTGAACCACCAGGTAGGTGCTGGGAATCAAACTTGGGTCCTCTGGAAGAGCAGCCAGTTCTCTTAACCACTGAGCTATTTCTCCCAGTGCCCACACTAAGTACTTAAAAAAAAAATAAAGATTTATTTTTATCTTGAATTATATGTATATGTGTGTGTGGTCTGTGTGTGGGTATAAGTCTGAAGGTATCTCAGACTCCAAAGGAAGATATCAGGTCCCCTGGACCTAGAGTTACAGGAGGCTGTGAGCTGCCTGATGTGGGTGCTAGGAACAGAGCTGGGGTCCTTTAAAAGAGCAGAGTGCATTCTTAAACACTGACCCATCTCTCCAGTCTTTAAATTGCTGTTTCGAAGACTTGGAAAACCAATGTTTACGATTCAAAAGGTCTGATCACACTGACTTGGAATTTGAAGAAAGAACTGGAGCAAAGCCCAATGATAAAAGTGTACACTTAGCATACATGAATCCTTGAGTTCAAACTCTAATAGGAAGGGAGAAAGGGAGGAATGGAGAGAGGGAGGGGAGAGGGAAGAAGGGAGGGGAGGAAAAGGGAGAGAAGGGAGGGAGGGAGAGAGGGAAAACTAGTCAAAATTACAAAGAATAAATAATTCTTACAACAAAAATTTTGGTTAAGGTTTCCCAGAAATTCCTGTCAATAGAGGAGAACTGAGTTCAAGTAGGAAATGATCTTTCTAAAATTAATGGATGCGTGTGCTAGGACAAAGTTCACAGCAGAAAACAGGACGAGTCACAGAGTTTCCCACACCTAATGAAATCATGGTTTTAGGGTAAAATGAAACAGAACAAAACAAAAGCTGTGCTGGTTTTCAGATCCCCAGGGATCACACTTCCAAAGCCAGATACTCAATACACATCTCATAGCCAGAGCCTTTGGTGGGAGGGCCTAGTTGTCTGACTAGCTCCATTTTGAGCATGTACATATGGTTTTTGTTTGGTTGCTGTTTGTTTGTTTTATTTAGCAAAGACTGACCCTTAACATTCAGCACCAATAATATCGAGTCCTGTTCTTAAACAGAAAACCACGTAACATGTTTTGATATCACTTTTGCTTATGTATAGAGAGAGTTACTCTGTAGCTCAGGCTGGACTCTAATTTACGATTCTCTTGTCTCAGCCTGCCCACTGTTGGGTTACAGATTTGTTATCCGGTGTCATTTTTTTTTTCATAGAATGGATCTATCCCAACAATGATGGGAGCCCAGTGAGGAAAAGAGCAACCTACCACCAGCTGTTTGCTCTATGTGGACTGGGCTAGCAAGCTACAGCTCCGATCCAAACACTGATGCTACCTCAGCCTTCTAGTGGTATGCTTTGTAAAAAGGATGCCGCATGCCTAGTTGCTGCTGAAAACAATAAATAAATAAAAAGTGACATCAGCAGAAGCTCATGGCCTTGTCAGGGACCTGCATTGAGAACAATGAACTGACTATAAAAGTGTAATTGATATTTTCCCAGTACTTTACAATGAATGAATGGCAATGTTTTCAAATTGAATTTGTTTTGTTCTTACACATTTATTCTTACAAAAACGGTTTCAGTGAGATAACAAATCCTAAACTTATTACTAGAAAATGCCACACAGGACCAAGACACACAGCCCTGGGCAATTGCATCTTTCATCACTCACCCTACCCCCACCCCCACACCACCCCTGCGCAGTTCTATCACAGAGATCTTCCTTGTCTTTCTTCTCTCTCAAGTCAATCTCTATTCCACTTTTAGGAAAAGAATTTTCCACAGGTACCTTCTTTATCAAACTTGATCCACAGCAATGGTTTAAAGACAAAAAGCTGCCCACAATCAGTTGATCAACTTGTTTGGTTCGGTGACGAAAATGTGGGGGTTGCAGAGTTTAGCTAAGAGGTAGAGTGCTTGCCTAGGATGTATGAAGACCCTAGACTCAGTGGATCCTAACACAAGGAAGGAGAATGGGAGGGAGGGAGGGAGGGAGGGAGGGAGGGAGGGAGGGAAGGATTGGCTTCTGTTTATTCATTGGGCTTTGTTTTGTTCTAAAATAAATATTCCTATGAAGAGTAAATGCAGCACTCTACAGTTTGCACAGTGTCCCACCATCCTCTATTGTCTTAGCCACGCCTGCTTAAGACAGTTGTCTTACCTGCCCGGCCCTGTAAGTAAATGGTTCTGTCACCCCTGATGAAATACAGTTGTATAGTGTGTTGTGAATTGGTACTGTCATAAATTTCAGTGACTTGAGCTTTTGACTTATGGTTGAGATATATACATATAAACTCAATATGTATTCAAAATGAGTAAATTACGTGTCAGACTCAAAGTTAATGCACATCCCAAACTTAGGACAGGGAAAGAACAGACATAGAAGAAAATCCCTGACCAAGAGTCCATTGCATCTCCCCCATCCACACATGACAGCAACTGCATCTTCCTGAATGCTTGTGCTCATGGGGTGCAAATATATCCATGAATGCTGTTTGCCCCACATGATAGACACAGGTAAGTAGGTGAGTGAATATCACCAGGCCCGGGGTTTTCTGAGGGCAGGAAGAAGCCTCCCTCACCTACAGACCTCCATTCTCACTTACACAAGCATAATCCAGAGGCGATACTACGAAGACCGTGGTCTAGTTCTAGCGGCTTTTACCTTCAACCTGGATGGAAACGGAAGAGGGATGGCTTCTTCATGCAGCGTATCAGAAAGCGAAGGAATACATTTTGCCTCCACTGGTTCTGATGACTGTGAGTTAATGTATTTCCCAATGCAGACAAGAAAGCTGACAAACTACAGCCATGGACCAAATCTGGGTGCTACCGGATTTTGCAAGGCCTGAGGGTTTTGAATGTTCTGCATGTTTTAAATGATCTTATTCTAAACAGAGCAGAGTTTGTGACACCAAGTTACATGAAATTCAACACTTACTGTCTATGAACCATGTTATTGGAATACAGTGATTCTCATTTGATTAGACAATAAGCAAATCTAAATTACTTGCTATCTGGCAGAAAAAGCTTGTTGACCCCTGGCCTAGAGCAATGAGATGAATTGCTCGGTTAAATGAACAGTGTGTTCAGAAGCAGGCCCAAGGCTTGCTTTTTTATTACAGGATGGGTATACCTTATATTCAGAATACAAACCTTTCTATACATATTTATTCTCAACAAACATCATAAGAAAGATATATGTTAACCAGGAGTCCCAAATCTCACTGAACTTTAGTTAAAATAAATATTAATAAATAAGCTTCTGGATTATTGCTACATTCTTCTCTCTGTCTATGTTCCATTCTATTCCTACATTAAGAGGTGGCTTGCCTTGGTCTCCTGTGCTCAGGACTCTGTGGCAGAGGGAAATGAGAAGCTAATCCAGAGACTCTACTCCAGGTCCTTATTCCAAAGCCCAAGTCAATTAGGAAAAAGGAAGTCTGAGAACATGCCTCTGAGAGGAACATGAGGAGACAGGGGTTCATTTCCTCTAGCCATCCCTGCATCTTGTCATGGCTATAGGATGTGAGAGGAGCTGAGAGGGGCTGGCTCCATGGGATACCTGCCATATGGGGTAGATTCTAAGGCCCTGCACATAGCCCCGGCTGAAGTTGCATTCCCTGGTGTGGCTTGGATGTGGCCAGCAGCAGATCTTACAGGACCACAATGCCTAGGAGGGCAGAGGATTGAGTATCATTATATGACAGAGAAGGTATTTAGAACCCTGGTATGAGGCCAGGCAGTGGAAGACCCTGGGTGACTGGTTGAAGTTCCTGTCCCCATGGTGGGACTAAGCTCAGGATCAATACTCAGAAACCTTTAAGGTCAAAAGGAATCCACACAGGCTTGGCTTTTTCTCACTGAAATCTACATGAGCTGTACTGTTAACACTCTCCTATTCAAAATGCACCTTGAACGGACACCACACCTTTACCTAAACATTTTTGTAGACTCCATCCTTCCATTGAGTTCTGCTCCACAAGAGGTTTCTGGAAACCCAGTGAGACATCATGCTTTATTTCACAAACCCATCATATTGGTGAGTCAAGACCTCAGCTGGCCATTCTCACTTTGAACCCTGCAGCTTAGAGAATGGCTGTGCTAGGACTGCACAGCTTCCTGTCCATCTCTGTTGGACTCACACTGTAACACAGTCTTCTTTTGTAACTTCCAAAAGCATAGCCAACAGAGTTGATTATATTAACAAAATTTTATCAAATGCTTGAGAATAACTCAAATAGGATGAAAAAAACCCACACTGTTGATTCAAATTATTTATGGGACCACCCTAAGATCTTCAGTTCTTGCTTTCTTATTCTCACGTAGAAAATACTTTCAAAGAAACATTCAAAATAATATTTGGCCAAATAGCTGGGTATCATGGTCTACTCATGTTGACATGGCTTAATATAAAACTATCACAAGAAATAGAATTCTTTCAATTCATTTTATACCTCTAACGTTGCTTCAACATCTAAAGCACATAAAGAAGTGGGGCATGGTGGTGCACACATGTAACCAGCATTTTGGAGGCTATGACAGAAGATCTGGAGTCAGAGGCCAGGCTGCACTAGATAGCAAGTTCAAGGCCAACCTGAGCTTCATAGTGAGATGCTTTTCCTACCCTCCCACCCTGAAAAAAAATCAATCAATGTAATACATCACTGTAACAAACTAAAGATGAAAAATCAAAGAGTCTTATCATGGGGTTCAGAGAAAATAAATGTGGCAAAACTCTAAATCCTCCCACAATTAAACACTAATTAAGTCAAATCTAACTTACTTCTTATTAAGAACTTATTCTCAGGCTGGGGTTCTAGTTTGGTAGTGGAGCACTTGCCTATCATTCACAGAACCTCTGCTTGATCCCTGGAGCTGCCAAAAGAAGAAAGAAGAACTTACTTAGCAGGACTTACTTGTCACACACTCCATGAGGACAGACCGAGTGCTTTCTCACTGCGATTGGGAACAAAGTCAGGCTGTCTGGTTTCAACAATCTTCTTCAGCAAAGTGCTGGAAGTCACAGCTAGAGCAATGAGGCAACCAGAGGAAGTGAAGCGTAAAGATTAGGGAGGGGGAAACAAAACTCTCCCTATCTGACCGTTTGCCAAAAAACTCCCTAGGAGTTCTAAGAGAATTCAGCAAGTTCTCAGAATCTAAGATTAAAAACAACACAAAACTGAATTACTTGGAGTAGCAATGAGTCTGTAACGAGGAAAAGGTATGGATCATTACAACCGTGGTTTTAATGAAACATTCTTGGGTGTGAATCAAAAAAACATGTGCAGAACCTTAACACTGAAAATCCAAGAGTGCAAATAAAAAAATGGAAGGGATGGACATACTGTGTGTGGAGGTCAGAAAATTCAACATGAAGAAATTATTCATTCTCCCAAACTAATGCACAGGCTCAGCATTATTCTGATCAAATTCCAGCAAAGTGATTATGATACATTTAAATCACCACCCTAAATTGATGTGAAAAGGAATATTAACTAGATTACAAGGTAACTTGGAAACATTTAAATTAAAAGTAGCCAAGAAATTTTCAAAGTAAGTGGTGAGCACCAAATTACAGATTTGCAAAGAATAAGACCAAAATGAATGCAAAATAACCCTCACATAGTTATTCATATTATAGTCAATCTGAAAAGAAATAGATACAAAAAGAAATTCTTGAGTAAAGACAAAAGATAAAACACCATTATCTATAGAGGAACAAAGACACAAATTACATTGTATTTATCATCAGAAACAATTCAAAGATGAGCAAGGGAAATTCCTACATTATTGAATTAAAAGGAACTACCAATCTAGAATTCTCTATCAGCAAAGCCAATTTCCAAAACGTGAATGAGGAGTAACAACTTGCAAGCTGAGCAGTGTTGCATGGTAGCTATTGCCTGTAGTGCCAGAACTTGGATAGTGCAGGCAGGAGGGTGAAGAGTTCAAGGCCAGCCTTTGCTACATAGTGACTTCAAGGTTAGTCTTGGCTACATGAAATCCTGTCTCAAGAAAAAGAAATACTTTTTTCCCCCACAAAAGCAGAACCATAGCAATAGGACAGATTAGTGACTGTGTAGTACAAGGGCAGCAGAAGATTCAGGGTGTGGCTATAAATGGCATGAAGTTCCTTGTGATGGGAGCATTCAGCATCCTGGTGGTACCCTGATTGTGATATTAGACTATACTTTTCTAATCTGTTATCATTGGAGAAAACTTAGTAAAGAGCACATAGGGTCTCTCATAACTGCAATATTGAAATATTATGATATCTCTTAGAACTAAATGTGAGTCTACACTTATCTAAAATATGAAGTCCAATAAATAAAAAGCTCAACTTCTTTTATCATCATCCTCTTCCTCCCTCTTTTTTCTCCCCCTTCCTCTTCCTCCTCCCCCTCCTTTTTTCTCATTCTCCCTCTATTTTTCCTCTTCCTTTTCTTCCTCCTCCTCATCTTCTCTCCCTCCCTTACCTCCACAAACAACTGTTTCTTTCTATCCTTAGCCTACAGTTGATGATGCTAATGAGTCTGATAGCAATTGGCAACAGGTATCCATTCCCATGTCAGGTTGATACCAGCCTAGTGTTGTGTGTGTCCAGGTATGTGTTATCCAGTCTGATACTGAACAGAGACCAAATACAATGTTTATTTTTCCCCTATGGCTCCCGGAGAGAATCCAGACCTTGGCCTTGCTCCCACAGCACTCTGACACCCATTTGTTAACAGGTAGCCCTAACACTCTCTCTAGGATACAATCCCTCCCTCTTGCTTTGTCCACAACTGTGTATCTCAGAGACTTGCCTCAGCTCACATCAATGGCTTACAGAACCTGCATGACTCTGCACATAAACTGGCGTTCTTGTGAAACTGAGAACATTCTCTCTGGCTCTCTGCTGTTTGGCTCTACCGGGCCTCGGGTTCTCTTCTGTATCTGCAGCCTTCTACATCAGGATGCCTCTGCAAAGAGGCCATTCCTGAGACTTCTGTCCTGTGCTCCAATCCTCCCTTGCGAGTTTCAGTTTGTTTTCCACGTGGCTTCTACTGGAATGTTTCCCAGCTGAACTGAAAGTTTTGAACTTCAGATCCTGTTTCCACTGTCTTGTGATTCTGATTCCACTGCTCACTCAGGGCAATGCACAACTCTTACACCTAAGTTATCCTGCTGAAGGCCATCTCTTGGGATGAGCAAGTGAGGATCCAAAGAGCCTCCAAAGCAGGGCAAGCTGCTGACATTAGTACCCAAGGGATGGGGTAGGCCTGCTATGCAGGTTCCTGTGTCTTAGGAAGGATGCATAGGGAAATGCTTCAGCGACACCCTTCCTCCCCCAACACTCAGTGCTTTGATCACACAGGGCTTCCCCTGACCATGCTGCCTACAGCTTGAAGTCCACATTAGTACAAACCTGCTTGTCCCTAAGATGCAAGAATCTCCTTGAAGCCTGGTGTGGTGGTCTATACCTGTAACCCATTGCCAGTGACACTAGTGAGTCAGACAAAAAGTAAGGTACTCCGCAGGAGACCCTGCTCTCACCCAGATACCAATAATAATAATAATAATAATAATAATAATAATAATAATAATACATAATAATACATAATACATAATAACAATAATGAAAAAGAACTCTTTCAAATAATAGGAACAATGTAAGTTATGGAGAAAACGGAGCCCTACAATCACCAAGCTGCTCTAGGTATGATATCATTGTCTATGGTATCTAGATTTGTTTTGTGGAGCTTGAACCCAGGTACCTGAGCTTGCCAGGCAAAAACTCTACCACCAAGCTGTTTCCCAAGCCCCATAGTTCAGCATAGGTGGATGTTTCCTGTCCCAACCACCTGTTCCCAAGTATAACTGGCAGCCACTTCCCAAATAACTGACTTGGAGACGTAATATAAATTATAAATGATTGGTCAATAGCTCAGGCTTGTTACTACATAACCCTTACATTTAACCCATATTTCTTATCTACACCCCGCCAAGTGACTTGATACCTTTTCTCAGTCTGGCATGCCCATCTTGCTCTCTCTGCATCTGTCAGCAGCTCTTTCACTCTGCCCTTCTTCATCCCTGTATCCTTGGTTTGATGGTCCCACCAACTTCATCCTGCCTTGCTATAGGCCAATCAGCTTCTTTATTAACCAATGAGAGTAATATATATTTATAGTGTACAGAAGGATTATTCCACAGCAATTCAGCATACTTAAAAATACTAAGGGCTGAGAGTATAGTTCATTGACAGAATGCTTGTCTGCCATATACAGGGGCTATAGGTTGGATCCCTGTATTGATGCCCAGAGCTGCCACCAACACAACAGAAAAGTATCTTTAAAGGTTTGTGTTTTACAATGATATCCTAACACTGAACTCTGAATGCTATGGTACTGACTTGCCAAGGAAGATGGCCACTGGTGCCCACTGGGGCCATAGGGGCATGACAGGAATGCCTATAACTGACCCCTTTCTGATAGAGAACCTAGTCAGAAGCCCACAGTTCTGGAAGTCACAGGCCTTGGGGTTGGGGGTGGGAGATTCCTGGAGGGTTTTTTTTTGCTTGTTTGTTTTTGTTTCATTTTGTGTTTGCTAAGTGGACACACTGTCAAATTACTTTCTAAGTATTTAAGTTCATGCCTGTAGACTAGTGCAGTTCTCAATCTCAGGCACAGAACCCGATTTCTGCAGCAGACGCAAGTTAATTCAGAAACTGATCAAAGGGCTGAGAAGGACAGATTGCTACACAGTCCTAAATGAGACATCTGTATCATAATACACGCAAACACACACACACACACACACACACACACACCAAAAAAGCTCAGAGAACAGCATAGAAGAGAACAGAAGAACGTAAGAGCTGAGGGATGGAGAGGAGCATTGTGAAGCGCTGTCTGCTGAGCACGGCATGGCCATCACACTCAGAACTTCCTGCAGCTACGTTTACCTGCGCAAGATCAAGCCGCCAAGACCAGAGAACATTCCAGCAGGCAGCACTAACAGGACTCGGTTTTGTTACCAATAACAACAAAAATGAGAGGATGTGAAGGTGGGAGAGGGAGCTGACTGGATAGTGTCAAAATATATTGTATATGTGTATGAAGCTGCCAAAGTAGAAATCAAAGGTATTTTCTTAAAAAAAAAAGTACTCATGAGTGTTTTCATGTTGCTTAAGGTAAAAAAAAAAAAAGAAGAAGAAGGAAGTTCATTCAAGAAAGAAAGAAGCAGAAAATAAATTCTGAACAGAAACTCAGAGGGCCATGAACCATTTCTCAGCCTTTATCTGAGTTTTATCTGCACAGCAAATCTTTCCGTTTCCCCTCAACTGTGCTGTCACTGGACTTCCTAATATCACTCACAGCCCGGGATCCGATTGCTTGTGGCTCCTCTGTAATGTCCCCCTAGTATAAACACAAAGGTCCTTTTCAGCAACACAGGTCATACACTTGTTTGGTTCTAGCCGGCTGCTTAGTAAGTCACCTCACATCCTGGTGCACAGGGTACTAGAGATAATTAACGTTGTGAATTCCCTTATAAAAACCCAAGCCAAGGTAGCCTTGGTCAAAGATTCCCAACACAAGAAAACCCTTTGTGTGAACAGGAAACTGATTTGCGTACTTACTGTTAACTAGACAAACAACTCGCAAGTGAATTACATTTGTCATCTTGGCAGCCCTGTTCATATAAAGAGGCTTAACTGGAAGATTAAGACAAATTCTATCTGAAAATATTGCGCTGTAAAACCATACACCTGCTGGAGTTCAAAGCAGAGCGGTTCTGTTACAGGCTGTGCAAGCATCAGGAAAATTTTACGTGGTCACAAGCCTGGAAGTCTAAGGCAAAGCCCCCACCCCCAGACCCAGGTTGTCTGAGCTCTCAAAATAAGACGGAAAGTTACGCTGATCTGCTGCCTGGAGGAAGCCCAGCTAGACTGACTGGGCTGAGCTGCAGAACCCTGTGAAACCTGCTAAAAAGTGCTGTGGGGGAAGGGAACCAGTGACCTCCCGAAGGCAAGGAATACATGAAGCCTGACAGAACTTTGCTAATTCCAGCGATAATGACTACACACATGCACACATATGCACACGCACATGCATACATACGTACACACACAGAGAGAGAGAGAGAGAGAGAGAGAGAGAGAGAGAGAGAGAGCTCCCCAACCTATAGGCTGGTTACCCTTTATGTCATGTCCAAGATTTTGAGCGGAAATAAACAGAATTAATGGGAAATCCAGGAAAACCGACAACAGACTTCAAGCCTTGGCCCAGACTGAAGTTCTCTGGAAATTGGCCCCCGCACAGGCAGCATTAGATTCACCCAGGTGTGCAGTGGGTGTAGCAGGGATGCCCGTTCAGCTCCATGTTAATCGAATGACTGCTGTTTTTATTACTACCTGCAATTTTCAAATTAATGACCTAATGCTGCACAGGAAGAATAGACCACCTCTTAGAGGGTAGTTGGATTTATTTTTTTAACCCAAAGCAGGAAATGCTCTGACTGGGCTCCGACCCTCTCCTGAAGTTGCTCTGGGCACACTGCCAAGGCTGGCTCACCAGGCCTTGGTTCTTCCGTTTTTTTTGTTTTTTGTTTTTTGTTTTTTTTTATCTAGTCCAATCGCTTTCCTTTAAAGCTTTCTCTTTTCCTCTCATCTCTCTCTGTAATACACCTTCCTGCTTGGTAAGTGACAGAGGCAACCTGTGTGCCTTGGCCTCCTGCTTGAAACAGAAAAAAACCAACTCAAGTGGCCAAGGCATAGAATTGCATGGAAATCCACAAAAAAATAGACTAGACAGTGCATTTGGGGATGCTGGAGTCTCTCCATCTCTCTTCCTCCTTCTCTCTCTTCCAGGCTATTCCATGATGTACTGTGTAGCCCAGGCTGCCTTTAAACCACAAATACTCTTTCTGCCTCAGCCTCCCAGATGTTAGGATTGCAGATAGGAGGCCACTACATCTGGCTTGGTGTTTTTGTTTTGTTTCTTAGATTAAAAAAAAAAAAAAGTCTTTAGGAACTTGCACTGTATCTGTGAATCCTTCGTGTGCAAACAGTTGGGCTAATCGTGGGCTCCATGCCAGTGAGCTTCCACCCTCATAGGTGTTCATAGGGTGCCCGGGGCAGCCTTCAATTTCCAGCTACTAATAAACAAGGTAATCACTCTTCTGGTGAATTGGGCTGTGATTCTTTCACTGAAATAATTACGTCTTAATTATTCACTTTCCAAACAAAACAAAACAAAGAAAAAAAAACTGTGTTTCTAGAAGCTCCAACATTCAAACCTCTTAGCAGTTTCTCATCAAATTTAACATAGATCTCAAACCAGCCAAACTCACAAACACACTCCTTCACTGGTCTGTCTGTCTCTCACACCACCTCCCCTGGCCCATCATTCTCTTCCCCTGTCTTCCCTGATTCTGGGTACCTAATGAATTGGTTTTTATAAGCCCGGTCAGAATCCCCTGAATATAAACTCTTTGGAGTTTAGCTTGGCCGTGGGATCGTGGAAGGTACAGGGAATGCCACCTGTTGGGGTTTTATCTGCCTTCACTGTGGAAAAACCCTCAGCACACAAGCCGCTGTCTGGGAAGCAGCCCATCGCGGTGGTTCTCACTCACTTCCTGCCGTCTCAGCAGACAGGGAAGCACCCGCGCTCCAATCCAGAGTGCACCACCCCCTAGCTGTACGACCTCCGGCCTTTCTCTTACCTCTCTAAGCCTTGCGTTCAGGCGTCCTGCCACACAAACACAGCTTTAACTGGTCTTCCTGGGGTTTCCCTTGGAGTCAGAGGTCATTTCCACCTAAACGGAAAAAGACAAAGCATTTTCAAGCAACTAACAAAGAACCGAGGTTGCTCCTGGACCCTCCCTTCGTAAGATTTCCTCTTTCCTGCCCCGGCCAGTGAAATCAGGGATGCACTGAGTGGGCGTGCTACTGACCCGCTGCTCACCTTCCAGTAGTGCCCACAGTTATTACAGAAGTACTTAACAGGTGGTGATGAAATAGGAAAGTCTGCTGTACAAATGAGTGAGCCCTACCGAATGAAAACATGAGAAAATTTAAAAAACTTGGTTTTTTTTTGTTTGTTTGTTTTGTTGTTTTTTTTGTTTTGTTTTGTTTTGTTTTTTAACATGAGAAGTGTGCCTGGGCCCAAAATATATTACTCAGAAAAGCACTTTGTAACACAGAGTGAGAGATGCCTGTCTCAAGTAGGACTGATTCCTTGAACATTACATTCCCTTATCAAGATTGTCCAATAATGAACCCAGAGAGGCCTGACCTTCTAAGTTGAAGCAAGGTTACATTGTCTTGTCTGGGACACTTATCAGGTGTTTCCTGAGTGCCATGTGTCAAAGGCTATTTTAATGCTGGCCCAGAAGTCTTTTGTTGCTAGAGCAAAGGACAGTAGATCAAAACCCCAGATAGGGAGTGATTTAGAAAACACTCCAAAGTTAAAATCCTACATAACGGTAGCCATCTCAAATGGTCATGATGAGGACTAGATTCGATCATATCTACACACTCAGCATAGGATTTATCCAGCGCTTAGAAAACATCCAACATTGCTGTTTTCACCAAAGTGTAAAGCCGCATTTTTAGAATTATAGAGCGTCTATAAGCCAGCTAAAATATGCATCTATGCTTATGAATATGCACTGGTGGCAAGGATCAGTCTGTAGCAACCACCTTGGTAGGGATACTAGAGCAAGGGATGACTCCGAGACAGGATGCTGTGAGTTTTCGAGTCCTTCAGGAAGACCCTGAAAAGTGGGGAGCGGAGGAAGACTGGGAGAGGGCAGGGGTTGTGGTCTCAGACAAATCTACTAGGTCTTCCTCTCTCACCTGGACCTAGAGGGAGGCTTGAGCTTCAATAATAGCAAGTAGCTGTTGGCATTTAAGTTAGGAGGACCAGCCTTTTATCTCCCTCTATCCGCACCAATTTGTCACAGGCCTCACCCCTCCCTGCACATAAACTACAGAGTCATACCCTCTAGGGTCACACAGTCCCCCTTGAGCTGTAGCAATTAAAACTCCCAAATAGGAAGCACATTAGTCATCTCGGGATTCCATAACAAAGAACATGGAGCATTGTGGCTTTTACAACAGAAATTAGTTTCTCATTCTGGAGGATGGCGTTCTAGGCCAGCAAGGGTGGTGATGAAGGCCCATCGCCTGTCTTATAGATGTATGTCTTTCCACTGTGTCTTTACCTGAATAAGAAACGTAAAAAGAAAACAAAACAACAAAAAACCTCTCTCCCTCATCTCTCTCCTGTTGGCTCAGAGCCTAACCTTTATGACTTCATTTAACCCCAATTGCCCCCTAAAGGCCCAATATCTAGACGCATAAGGTAAAAGTTCCTACATATGAATTTTGGAGAGACTTGATATTGTCCATACCCAGAGACATCTGTGACCTGTTAGAAGCCAAAACTCAGAGCCACTGAGGCACAAGTCCAGACGCCAAGTGTGGTAGATGGTTGTTGTGAAGGTGATAGCCAGGGCTTTCTTCTTGGTACCTGTCACTCTTTCAATATGACTTTACAAACTCTCCCTCTGTCCTTTATATCTGGACTGGTTTTATGAACTATTTTGACTGAAAAAAAAGTACACAGGAACTAACAATTCCAACCTCAGAGTTACAGAGGCCTTAGGAGTTTCCATGGATGGTGTTAGAAGCCTAGTGCCACCACATGAGTAGGCCTGGGTTGGCCTATGGGACAATGACAGACATTGCCCCAGCCAGCAGCCAACCAGTCAATCACCAGACACATGAACAGAGCTCAGAGGTAAGTGAATCTAGCTGAGCTCAGTTAAGCCTAACCCACTGTCTGTCTGGTAGAGCTGGAAGCAAGAGCCACTAAGCTTAATGTGGGACATGTGCTTGTTCAACAGAATAGATCATGGGACCATCCAAAAATTAGGAAAAACTAGCCTACAAAAATAGGGCGAACGTTAGGGTTTAAGAACTAGTCCTTCTCTAGTTTTTAATTTGTGTGATTTGGCAAATAACCTGCCTGAAGCATGTTCCTTGTGTGCCAAACAAAGATTATATTTTAAGCCACAAAGGAAACTACCAAGGAGCTTAAGTGAAAGTCAGTGAGTAAGTCTGAGTAAAGGAAAAAGGAAGAAAAAATTACACAAACTTGAGTGCCGTTACAGGACCTAATTCGAGAAGCAGGATTCCTGGCCTAAAGGTCCCAAGCTACCCAAGTTAAATCTGTATGGCTTTTAAGAAATCTGCTCAAATGTGAAGCCTACGATTATGTTTTCTAAGAGGTGAAATAAAGGTAGCCCCCAAGTTCTCAGTCCTACTGTAAGAGGAGATATCTAACATGGGCATTAGTTAGACTCTGAGTAATCACGAGGCAAGAAATAGCACTGTGTGGCACATCTCAGATGTGACTTGATATTGGTTATACATTCTTCAACCAAAAGAAGGAGAAGAAGAAGAAGAAGAAGAAGAAGAAGAAGAAGAAGAAGAAGAAGAAGAAGAAGAAGAAGAAGAAGAAGAAGAAGAAGCTGGTAACTTATTAATTACTAAGCAATTGGTTGGATTTCTAGGCCACACTGGCAAGTTGAATTTATGTTCTGGGGAAGGGGTAACTTTGAAATTTTGGAAAACCTTATAGAAGTGGATGTATCTTATCAAAGTGGTCAATTTGAAACTGATGTCACCAGTCAAATGTCTAGCTTCTAGCAGTCACATAGGAGCTCAGATACAATTTGAAAGTAAAACCTAGGAGAGCTGAGGAAGTCACAATTGATACCAGAGCAATAGAAGGTCAAACAGACCTTGCTTTCCCAACGGCCCCAGAATAAGCCAAACAGCGGAAGCAGTGGGAACCAGAGGGGAGGAGCAGGATGGAGACGGTGGGTGAGGTGATGAATTGGAGGATGTCAATCAAAACATTTACATCAGTGCCCGCCCACGGCTCTGTTGCCATGAAGGGAGCGGTTAGTTCTTATAACTACAGACTCCTGGTCCGTGTCCAGATTGGAGGCATGAGGGCAGCTCTCTCAGTGGGAGTTGGAGTATGGGAAAATGAGCAGCTGAAGCTGGAAAGGGAAGAGTGGGCTCAGAGAAGCTTGTGGACACCAAGGAGGACCAGGATTCTTGGCACTGCGTTCCCTCACACGCTCCCCACACATGCTGTGGGGAGTTCTGTCATGAGAACCTGCTACGATATTACAGGAATATGGATGTTCATCTGGGCTAGGAGCTACATCTGTAGCTAGAAACAGACAAACAGAATTGTAACACTGAGGAAAACCAACTGTAAAGAAGTAACCAAACAATGGCCACAGTTCAGTTCTCAACTCAATAAATAGAATTGGGAAAAGACAGAATCCTAGCAAACAAAAACGCAGGATAATAATATAAGCAATTAAAATTAAAAAGAAAAAAAAAACATCCGAAATGAAGGGCTTTTTCCAATTGCTTTGAAGGGATTCGGTGATAGAAGCTCAGTAATGAACGCACCAGTAGAGATCTCTGCAGTGAAAAGTTTGATCTACTCATGGCCTGGGAACAAAACAGCCAAATATGCAGAGCTGAAGAGTCAATAAGAGAAGAGGGTGCTTCTCCAACCATAAAGCCCAGAACACAGATGGAAGATGTGAGGGAAAACTTCAAGAGTATGAGGAAGAGCCTGAAGGATAAATATTAACTTAGTAAGAGTTCCAAAAAAAGCAGAAGAGAGGGGACATTATAGAAGAAATAATAAACACAGTAAGAGATTAAAATGTTCTTATCAGATTTTCAGATGAAAAAAAAAAATCTCACACTCAAAACAAAGACGAAGTCCATTAGCTTCATATTGATGATTGCCAAGACCCAAATATTGAACTATCCAAAAACACTTGAGAGGGACCAGGAGTGTACCATTAGGAAGTGATCAGGTTAACGTCAACTTCTTAGCTGCAAAAATTGTTGCTAGATAGCAAAGACACAGCTAGATAGCAAAAAATCACAGCTCTGAGGAGCAGGCATTTGGGACCTAGACTTAAAAGCCCAAGCAAGATCTCACTACCATGTAAGAACATGCTCCCATCTTTGATAGAATGTGCACATTGTATCAAATGTGCATCCTTACTCATTGCCATATAAGAGCATGCACCCATCTTTGATAGAGTGTGTATATTATATCAAATGTATACCTTACTCAGAAAATGTACCATTAAGAAATTTCTCTAAAAATATATAAACCCGAGTTAATATGCTTCATTTAACATGTTGAAAGAGTAGTATACTTAGAAGCACCTGAGTATAAATTCTTAAGTTCCATGGAATAGTTAGAAAAACTGGCCACATGTTATTATAATATACATTCTCAATAAATTTCAAAGTGCAGAAATTATTACAGCTTTATTTTTCTAACTCTAATGCATAATACATTGATGGCACAAAAAGAGCAAAGCATTATTCCGTTCACTGGCAAATTATCTCAAATAATAGTATAAATAATTATATTATATATATTATCTCTACAGTAAATCCCATATGAAATCAAAAACAAATTTGAAATAGAATCAAATTAAAACTGAATGTGTTTAAAGAGTAGAATGAGACTTGCAGAATGTGATCAGTATAATATGTGCCAGGAAATCCGGGATTAAAAAACACTTGTAAGAGAATATCAAAGTTTAAAATAAGCCGGGCAGTGGTGGTGCACACCTTTAATCCCAACACTCAGGGGGCAGAGCCAGGTGGATCTTTGTGAGTTCAGGATCAGCCTGGTCTACAAAGTGAGATCCAGGACAGGCACCAAAAATACACTGAGAAACCCTGTCTTGAAAAACA